TAAAGTCGCGAGACGGTGACGCTCAAAGTGATGGCATCCATCATTGATAAAGTAGATGGCGCATCGTGCAGCTAAACTACTAATCGATTCTCGATTGTCAAATTCAGGCGCGTATCTATCAGATTTAAATTACTGATCATTTCATTCACGCGAGGGACTATCATCTCACACAGTGTTTGGTGGTTTTCGGCGAAACCACAACAGACAGAAGAGAGAGAGAGAGAGAGAGAGAGAGAAATGGTCGTTAAAAAGGATTTCCCTACTATATATCTTCATTTACGCGTAATAAATAACACACGTGTCGTAGCAGCGTGGTGCCGGTGTTATGGTGCTCTGAACGACGAGAAAATTTTGTCAGTGTAATAGCCGCTGGAATTACTTTTTTCTCTGTCGAAAATCCTCGAACGAGAGAAGCCGTACGTACATACTTTGCGTCTCTCTTCGCTTCGCGACGTTTACGATCCAGTAAATTAAGCGTGGAGAAATCACGATGGGCCGACGGCGTGGATTCGGATCTTTGAAGAGTGGGAAAAAAAGATCCGAGGTTATCGCGGCGACATCGCGTTCGAGGACCACGCGTTTCACGCGCCAACACTGAAACCATGATATTTCTTTCTTTATCAGCCTAGATACAGTCGACAATCCTTACGACAAATTTCGTTGACGAAATTTATTTAGGATAAACTAACCTTCAATGTATTTCTTAACTTTTATGAAATAAAAAGAATCCGCGTTCTTCCGTATTAAGAAACAGTTAATAATCGATTGAACGAACTTCTGCCGATCGAATCCATTTGTCTGACCGTGAACTCTTACTGTACGAATGAGAAATGGCGATCAACTAGGGGAAAACTATGACACCGATCATTTGACGTTCAAATAGAGAACGTTTTTTCACTACACCGAATATGAAAATTGCAAAACCAACGAGCTGCGTGTCTTATCTCGCGGCTTAGCTGCGAGATCTTAGAAAAACAGGTGGGAAACGGCGAATTTTTCCACTGGATCGGGGCTGCAACGTCATCCACTTCACACCCAGACATTAGTAGGCCGGGTCTAAAGTAGGCGCCGTTCAAATGTTTTCTTAGGTCACGACGCGACGCCTTGTTCGACAAGCCCGGCACGAATCATAGGTAATAGAGACAATGACCGAGTAAACGTCGAATTACCCTTCGTTTACGCCTTTCATTCTTCGGCCATGAAATCTATCGATCTCAGGTGAGAAAAAAACGATTTTACGGTGGCTCTTTTATCCTTACGAGTGAAAGGCCAGTGGATCGATGACATTTTCGTTGAGAACCGTGCAATTACCGCGGCAACTGGAATTTAATTAAATCTACCTCCGATACTGATAACATGATATTCTACAATTAATATTCCACGATTTGTTACGGTTTTAATTTCCACTTCACGTGCGTAAGCGCAAAATGAGAGTTCTACCGTTGAAAAATGGCCGATCCGCCGAACGAGGCGCTTGGAAACGCAACTTCTGCAGCAACAAAAACAACATTTAATGAGATCGGTCGTTACGCTTTTTCATACCGTGTAAATATCATTTCTGATTTGCAATTCCACGTTCGTTCGGACGTATCAACGTAACGATTAATATTCAGTAAATGTTCAGACTTGCAAACCAGCGCAGATAGATGAGAAGATAATTCGAAATTCTATTTACGTATTCGCCGCATTAGAAAGTCACTGGCAAGCGTGGTAATTATCGAAGCCTTTTCATCCGTGACGGCAGCAGTAACAATCAATCAGAATTTTATGCGTTATATGGAACGAAATGATAATTTCACAGTATAGAATCGTACGATGAACAGCAACAATAATTCTAGGCCTTTCTTTTTGCAGAAATCGTCCGACGGATTCACGAAGATGGCGACAATAACTCAAAGTATTCACGAGGGATTAGAAACGAGCAAAGCGGTTATCTCGGAAGCGAATCGCTGTTAAGGCTTATCTGCGTCGTCTGCCGGCTCACGGGCCATTGACTGAAGACTCCCGAACATCTGGACCATACAGATAGTCGTGCTTTGACTGAATTCTGACTCTGCTCCGTTTCCCGGAAGCATCTATCTTACGACGTGGCGCTTAAAACCGGAGAGAAGACGAGAAAATAGTTGAGGACGGATCGAGCGTCACTCTATTACGAAATTCTGCTATTTATTCAGTAGGACGAATGTTCGGATAGGATAATTTACCAGCGACCTCTTAATGAGAATTATTACTTTCGTAAAGGTTCTTCCATTGCTTTGAAAATAATCGCATGGTAATTAGTTGCTATTTAATATTCGTAAATATGTTTTCTGCAATGGATTTCAATTAATTTCGAAACAATTATACACGATACGATGTTTGTTTCTTTTTTATTCTTGTTCATTATTCACGCTTACAGTATTTACAAATCAGTTAGGTTATTGATGACGACGGCACTACTCATCCAACATAATTAAAATTGCTCTTAATGTTACCGCGAATTGAACCGCAATTTACGAGAGGTACAGGCGCCTGACTGCTCTTCAAGGACCGATTAAAGTCGTTAACTTGGGAAAGAATGATAGGCGAGACGAGTGTCGGATATTTTGGCCTCGCCTCGACGCCGGAAATGATTCGGTGATTTTTGGCGAAAATGCCGCAACGACTGACACGGTCACCATCTGTCGTCCTTCGACCCTCCCCTTTCCAACAATTGACTCTTTCATGATAAATATCCGAGTCAAAACAGTATTACACAACGACGCACACCATTATCTCAGAAATATATCGTTCAGACTTCTTTTGAAAAGAATCGCGAAGAAATTATTAGATTACTTGCAAAAGGTCGAAGTGTCTTAAAAAAAAAAAAGACATTTCTATCCCGGTTTATTTTTTACGTTTTCCCTCGTTAACGATATTTTAAAATATCTCTTATAAATATATCTAATGTCAAATATTAATATTAAATATTTTAAATATTTTTATTAAATATTAATATTAAATATTTTTGAATGTCCATCTTCGTACTCGCCCAAATTGTTTCTTCCTTGACGACAAAAGCTTCGAAATTATCCAAAACTCCCGAAACAGCCGAAAAGATTCGAAGGTAACTATCGTGAGAACGAAGACCTCGCGCGGACAGGTGTAGAAAAGAATTTCGCAAACAGGCCGGGGGAGAAGAGAGCGAAAATTCTCTGGAAAGCAAGCCCGATATCGCCCGATTCGCGGGATAGCTCGAGGGAAACAGGTAAAACGGGGCATCAAACTCGCTTGGCCCTCCTCTCCGGCCCTCTACAGGGGGTCCAGTCACGCTGACATGTTTATCACGCTCGTTCTCGAGACTCGTGCCATGCGTTACACGCGAAAGACCCGCCGGTGTTATGCTCGCGAGCTTGAGCCTCTGTGTAAGGTTTCACGTTACTGGCTACACAATGCCGCGCTCCGCCGTGTCCCCGAGCATTTTTCATTTCCGTCTATCTTCCGAGAGGAATTCCTCGAAATATATGTGTCGCAAGTTCGATTGAGATCCATCTCAAGTGAGAATTGTTGTTGCATTTCAGAATCTTCTCGAAGTGCGATACTTGGTAGAGCGATAAAAAAAAAAAAGGTCGTTCTAGATATAACGATGGATGGAAACGCCTGGCGCGGATCATCGCCACGAATAAATCGCATGGATGAAGAGTTGCGTAATGTTCGCTCGCGTGGGGAGATAGGGAGGGTTTCACGAGGCGTTACTTCGCTTCTTGATTGTGCGAAAGGTGCAAGCACGCGGGGAAGATGTGACGAGCGAGACGAGTGAGAAGTTTCATGATTAATTAAATCTCGCGAACGTACGATGGGAGAAAGTCTCAACCCTGGAATATTGTAATTGAGAATTATACCCCCTGATTTTTAATTCAACTAACTTTTATCGGTCTCCTGTCTTTTTATTTTGCATCAGAATTAATACTAATACTTTTCAGAGCTAAAAGCAGTTAACAGATTTCACGTGTCCATGAACACAATCTCAATTCAACCTCGATAGGTTGATATCAAGCATATATTCCAGGCGACGACGTAAAATTTTCGAACGCTGGTTGAGAGCCGAGTAAAAGCCAACGCGACGAATTTTGCTGCATAAATCACTCGCCGCTACGTTATACGTTCATTTACGTCATTTTATTGGATCGTATATCTGTTTCTGACTGCATGGCGCGGTATACGTCTGCGTCGAACAAACGTTAGTTTCGTGGCATCACCTAGAAACAGCCTTCCTCCTTGCTTGTTCTCCCCGGTTGCGTAACGTATAGCAAAGCTTCTCGATTATGGTACGATAACCTACGATCGTAACGATGTCGCGCTGTTCGTTTTTCTATCCTTTTATCATCGTCGTTCATCTACGATCCTCTGAGAATCTGTTCCCTCCCCGTTTTTCTCCGTTTCCGTGAACGTTCACGCGACCCGGCTTTTTCACTCGCGTCATAGCGTTCCAACGACGATAGTTCCACGGAACCATCCTCGTGATGAGGAACGACTGTGCGCCAGTCGAACCGTTATAAAATCTTCGAGCTATCCTCCCTCCCCTCCCCCTCTGTCAACTTGAAATTTTTCTACAAGAACCACGAGTACGCGACTGGATGATTTCAATTAGACGCAACTCGACTTCGCAGTCGAGATTCTTCTGTACGTAACCGAGGTGATACTTCCACGTTAAAAGGAAACGACATAGGTACTTGTCATAGGCGTAAAATGCGTTGATTGCAATTACGAGTTCGCGAGACTTACTTTCGTTTCGAGTAAAACTGACGGTTACGAATTTCTTTTAGCATCGAGTCTGAAGAAACGGTAGTTGCGACATTTGATCTCTCCATCAAAATTCCATTCCGAAATGTCTGTTTTTTACGACACGATAGTTTTACGACTCGTAGCAAGCGACACCGTTCGTTTGCCCCTAAACGTATCTCTCAAATCACGTTACTCACCGCGTAGGATGAGGAAGCTAACGCGCCGATCAAACTAACAACCAGATGGAAAAGAAGAAAAATATAAAAAAAAAATCAAGTTCAATAAAAAAAAAAAAAAAAAAAGAAAAAAAAAAAAAAACTCTTTTTTCGGGTAACGAAGATTCAAGTTAGATTCGGGAATTTCAAGTCGAAAGAGAAATTAAATTCTAATTAACATCCAGAGTTCTCTTCTCGGTTCTTTCTGTAACAAAAATTTTCCGCGTCTCATTAATATCGTTTTTTACACTATCCTACTCATCTTCAAAAGTATTTTCACTCTGTCAATCTTTAAAAGAAAAAAGATTTTTTTTTTTTTGGTAATTACTATGAAAACTTTTTTCTTGATATTCAATAAACATTCTCATAATCAGCGTGTTCCTAACTCTCGTGGTTTTACTTGGACGATAAGTAAGCATGGTATCTTATATAAGGGATTAAATAAGAAGAATACAGTTGCTTGTGTGAGTTATATGACTCGCGAGGCATCTTCTCCGATAGAAGATATAACGAAATAATATCGTCGTATAACACTTATTAACAATTTCTAGTCGCGTGCTACTAAATACCATGCAGTCGCGCTTATGATTTCGCTTTCGAACTATTATGCCTACGCCTCTATTTTATTATCGAATTTTTTTAAACATCATTATCGGTAACTTCCTAGAAGTTTCTCTTTGCGAAAGAAACCTAAACACGTACACTAACTTTGTGTACTAATTCTTTCTATGCTATCGAACTTATTACTTGGACACTTATTATCCAACACGTGTTCGTTGAACGGTTGTTAACAAGAAGGCATCAATAACGATTTACGAGGAAAACAATAGATTTCTTTTCCCCATTTTTTTTTCGTTTTCTTCTCTTTTTTCACTTTCTTAAAACTCTGGATTCTCTTTTCCTATATATATATATATTTTTTTTTACATCTGTCATATCTTCCCATTTCCATCTTACCGTATATGAGTTTATTATTATTTTTGCATGCTTGAATATTTGTGTTGTGATCTTTATAGGTCACCCTCCTGGCCGGTATGGGCTCCACGTATTCCCAATGTCTCCCAAAAATCCTCAAACCAGCAGCCTGCCAGACCCGAGACCTCTCTCGACTCCGAGTTTCCATCCTCGTCTTCCCTGATGCTGCTGGACCCACGTAATCGGTTCTGGTCAGCGTCCAGTCCTCTTTCGTCGCGCGAGAGAACATCGATCACGCGAAATTCTCTGAGATCGAGCGTAGCAGTCGTTGCCGCGTTAAACGATCAAAATGAAATGAATCAATCGAAAAATGGCGTCGGCTCGAGCAATATGATGAGCCGCGTCAACGAAGATGTGGGCAACGACGTTGGTCTGTTTAAAGTGCCCGGGCCGCAGGATGTGCCGCGACACTTACGAAAAAATTTCGAAAGGAACAGCTTCGACGCGCGAAACGACCGTAACGCGGCGAATTTGACGAACGATCGGGACGACGGGCAACAGAACAACGTGGTTGCGTCGACTGTGAAGCCGAGAATCGGTCAGCCAGGTTGGAGAAGCATTTCGAAAACCTGCGATTGTATCGAGAAAGGTAAAATCAGTCCGGTTTTACGACTAGCCGACCAGGCCAGAGCCGTATCCTCTCCCGATCCTCTTCATAGGCCCGATAACCCCAGAGCCTCGCTACGTTCCGCGACGACCGCTCAGACCCTCAGGTAGGTTTCATTCATCAGCGACTTTTTCTTTTATGATTGTCTTTTCTTTTTTTTTTTTTTTTTTTTTTTTTTAATTAAATCCCCGAGTCCTTTTTCTGTTTGATGATTTGTACGTTCGATCTGTTATTCTCTCCCTGCTCTTTGTTCTGCGTTAACTGCCGTAGCGTTGCCGGTAGGTTTTGTGGAAGCAGTAGCAAAGTGCGTGGTCTCGATTTCTCGGAATACAAATATTGTTTTATACCGACGATGTATCGTATCGTATCGTAGGATGACACAATGCTCTGTTGTTCGAAAAATCGATGCGACTTGTTAAAATTTCTGTCGAGTTGAAAATTGGTTCTTCCCTTTCGTTTTTTTCTTTTTTCGTAACTCGTTTTAATTTTTATGTTTGTTCTATCCACACGTCGTGTGTTTTTAATGTATTTGTTTTTTTTTTTGTTTTTTTTTTTTCTGTTACACTTTTGTGTTTCCTCAAAACGATGCTTGAAATTAACGACGCTCAACGCCACAGACGTTTCAAACGCGTCGACACGGTTTTTGACATGCGACTAATAAAAATTAGACAAACAGAACAGACACACTCGCTGCGGACGTTTTGCACTCTGGCTTACCGTTTTGCTTCGTTACGCGAGTTTTCCTGTTAGAGACGCTAAAATTCGACAATTCGGAACTATCGTTCCCGTTTAACGCTAGAACTACCAGAGACTAAAGCATAGAATTTTCATCAGGGATATTAAAGTGACAAAAATAGAAATACAATAGAATAAACTTTTATTCATGTATTTTATAAAAAATCATTTAAACCTATAAAAATACACAGTTTTGCATCTGTGATATATCTAAAAAAAAAAAAAAAAATTATGAATTAGTCATTTTGGCCACTTCGGTAGCTCTAGTGTTGAAAATTTGATAAATTTTCAAAAAGCGACTGTAAACAAATCATACGCTGCGCTTATTTGTTAATTCGAATAACGCGCTATCGTTTCATTTAATGTTGAATAATCCTAATCTCTCTCGCGAGAAAATTCATCAAACAGCAACTGTATTTGAATTATAACAAAAAAAAAAAAAAAAAACGTGCGTTTCGTTAAGTGGATTTTTCAACGCTGATATTCGAATTGAAATTTCTGAATTTCAGTTTTTATAAATTACATGTAAAAAGTAAAAAAAAAGGAATGAATGTTAACGGAATGCATTCAAGAGACTGGTCAGTTAAAGCGTGTGTAAAGAGTTTACGTACGATATAGATAGTTACATAACGAACGAGCAATTGGTCGCTCAAGGTCTCTCCTCTTTGTTATGGAAAAGTGCCATAAATGATCCATTTTTAGACGATCTTGAGCTATCAGTCAATCTCGTCAGGCTATTGAAGATGCATTTCGCCGGACACTTTCACAGCCCGCCTACATTACTTTCGACTTGGTCTGCTTTTAACCCCTTGCGCTGGCAACGAAGTTCGCGGACCACGAACGAGTGAAATAATTCGTCGATTTCCTTTCTCCTTCGAACTCGTCGGATAGGAAAATTATTAAGAAGCAAGAAACTTGTCATTTGTTTTGCCTGGGTTACGTTTAAATATACTGAAAACTGCGAAAATGTATGCAATTTGGGACGCAAGAGGTTGAAACGAGACCCTGCGATCAAAGTTGATCTAACCTGCTGATCTAATCTCTGGCTTTTAACAATTTTCGAACGAAAGCTCGAGCTGTCAAAGTGTCTGCATACGTACGAGGGGAAAAAAGCACGCAGAGGAAATAGAGAATAGGCGAAAGAAACAGGAAGCGGTGGAGAGGAGGTGGTGTAGCTTTTCTTCCAGTTTGGATGGCTTTGTGAATCCTTGCAGGGGTATTGGCGGAAGTCACCGGAAGTTGCTGGACGGGGCGGGGGGCAAGCTGGCTACGGTCGCCACCAGCCCAGCGGACTCCGAGGAGTCTTCCTTAGGGGTTCCGGAAGTTGCTCCACCGAGCTCCCAGCACCGAAACAGCATAACCCCACCGTCAGTCCATGCTTTCGTCTTAATTCTCTTCTTTTTCCACTTTTCTTGTCTCGTGTCTCTCTCTCTCTCTCTCTCTCTCTTTCTCTTTCTCTCTTTTTTTCTTGTTTCCGTTTCTTTTTCACTTCTTTGTTCTTGTGACGCAGTTCGCGGATACGTGGATGCAAATGACGTCAACTCGGAATTGGAGTTTCCCTCCTCCCTGCTTCATTTCACACGACGGCGACTGTTACTAATGTTGTTGAAATGTTATTCCATGCAATTAATCAATGTCACAGGATGATCTTAGAGTCGAGTTTTGTCATCGCTAAACAAGGCGTAATAAGCAATGATAATTCAAAGTCTTCTTAAAACGGAGAGTCATTCTGAATGTTGATTGAAAGAAAAAAATATGTAAAATGAATTGTGCTAATGTTTCCACGTGCCCGTGTAAAAAGCTTCAGTCACCATGATATTTACTGGCTGTTAATAAGTACTAACGTGCAATTGCCATGTAGTTTTGCTAGGATTAAAATACTATTAAGAAAAAAATGTTGAGGAGGAGGTACACAGCACAAAAAGCCTCGAACATTTGAGTAACTCAGATCTGTCCGTAATTAAGCTTCCAATCTCGCAACAAATATGATATTTGAAATTGTCATATTCTACAGAAAAAAAAAAAAGGAAGTAAACGTCAGTTAAATTTGGACAGGGCTGGGGTTCAATTCGATCGTCATGGCAATTAGCTTGTTGCATGCGAACCCAGCATATATACCCAAGCATATATAACACGGTCGGTCGTAAAAGAAATTGGAGATCTTGCCGCTTTGGTTGTGCACCTTTGTTTCGCTTGCTTCGTCCTCCCAAATCATCTCTGTCATTTTTGTAACGCGTCCAAAAGCCAGACTCTCTCGCTTTTGACCTTTGCGTTCATTTCGTTAGCGTCATAGCAACAGCAGCTGTGTCTGGTGTTCTTTGATCTTTGTATCGAACGATGTGTTTTTGCACGTGGTGTGCGGTGAAAAATCGAACATTTTCAATGATTCTGTAATGAAGAAGGAGCGCTGGCCCGGAATCCGCCATATTACGAAATACGAGGAGAATCCAAGGATCCCAAAATTTCTTGCAAACAATTATAGATACTTGTCAAAGTTGAACAGAATTCTTTTTCTCTTCTTCTCCTTAATTTTAATTTCTAAACGACCGAGCCTCTCGTTCGTCGCGTTTCTTGGAAATTTTACGAGGAGAGGAAAGGAAAACGACAGAAGATGTGGGTATTTCGCGCCAGTGCTTGAAAAAAAAGCAGAGATTTCAACGAGGAAATACGAGAGAATAATAATACGTCGTTATCGTTGGCTCGTCTTTTGCGTAGAAATCCTTCCGGAGGCTCGGGTTTGAGCGAGACGGGATCTCTGGACCGGGCGAAAGCCGCGCTGGAGCGCAGGAAAAAGGCCGAAGATGGCACAGGAAATCCAATCTTGTGCAGGGTCGAGGTGACCAGGCCAAACCCGGATTCTCTGATCGACGAACTGATCAAAGCAACGAATTTGGAGCAAACCGATCTTGAGAGCTCTGAAAGTACGTTGTTCTTGCACAATTTTCTTCTTTCTCTCCCTCTCTCTCTCTTTTTTTTTTTTTTTTTTGTCGTGCTATATTTGAAACGAAATAAACGGCATGTCGCGAACAGTCAATTAAACGTCATTATTTTTATGACGCGAGAAGCGCAATTTGTAGCTAATCTCAGTTTATTTACATAATGATAGCTATTTCAACGTTTCTAATTATCGGTTTTTCGTATCTAATTATCTAATTACAGCGACTGGACTTCAGCTATTCATAGCGAAAGACGGGACGACCGCGCTTGGCAGCCACGAAATCAAAAGCCAGATGCCCGCCGGTGTGTTCAAGCAGGTGGTGATGGAGGAGAATAATAGGTAACACGAAGCTATCGCGACGAGAAGACAGTACGCAAGACAGACCAGCGCCACGTTCTCGTTGGCCCTGGTGCCAGAGCTCGTCTACGAGGCCTACGAGCCCCGGTAGTTTGCGAGAACAACGACACTGGACGAGGGAATCGTCGAGAGGACGGTGAAGAAACACGGCGAGGATAAACGAACGCCCAGTGCACCTCGATCTCCTACCTAAATTATTCATTTCAGTTGCCTAACTGTCCTTCCGGCGTTCGGTGCTTCACGCTTCTCGTACGCGAACCGAATCGATCATTGTCATTTACGCTCAAAACGTTGCTAAATTTTGTTTTCCTTTTTGATATGTCGAATTGTTCGGCGCGGCAGTCTTCGTTGAACCGCGGCGCAGCTCGCGAAATAATTTATAAATTGTAAGGGGAAGTGGGACGAGGGAGGGCCAAATTGAATTCGCTCGATCTCCAGAATTCGACTCCGTGGTCCCGTGGCAATTAGAGACGCAACACACGCACCGAAACGCTTCAAGCGAAGGGAGTTGTCTAGTTGACGCTTCGTTGATCGAAACCGACCGAGGGGTGCACACTAATTCAACCATGAAACCGCGTATTTTCTTCCGCGAAGTCGAAGCACAATACAAAATCATTTCTTCTTCTTGTTTTTTTTTTTTTTTTTTTTCCTTCTTTTATCATTGTTACTTTCTTTCTCGTCGACCGTGCTTCAAGAACAAATCAGGAGGCATTGTTTATAAATAACGAAAAAAGACAAAGTTCTGACCAGAGATTACATGTTAAAAAGCGCGAGAAAGAGAGAGAAAGAGAGAGAGATGACGAAGCGCGATCGGCGCTCAGTACGTGCATCAACGCTTTTTTTTTTTCTACCTGTGTTCACGGTTCCTTTGTTGTCCATGTGAACGACTACTGTGCAGTTACTATAAAGTGGACCGAGGCACGTTCGTTCGTCTCGATCCTCGAGTGGAGTCGACGTCGGACGAACGTTCGACAAAACGGGATAAAGCAAGAGATGAGACGAGTCTCGAGCGCGCTCTAACGTACAAAAAAACATTGTTTCAAACGACCCCGTTTCGACTGTGCTTCTCTTTCTCGTCCTGTTTTGCTATCGTTTAAGGTACAAGCGTTTAATACACACGTATTACTCATGTATATAGCGTTCTATCGTTCGGTTGTTCAGTTAGTTCGCTCGGGCCGACCCGGACTCGTGTCAAATGTCTCCGTCGGCGTTTCGATAATGTATTTATTTTTATTCTACGATTTATAACTCCACTTTATAGTATTTCCGTCTAATATATTGTTCGCGAACTGAATTTTATCACGATCCTTTGTATTATTAGCCTTTACTCTGGCTCCTTCTTCTTTTTTTTTTTTTTTTTTTTTTTTTGTTTCCGTGATCGTTTGTGTATGTGTGCGTATACATGTGCGTACGTGTGAGAGAGAGAGAGAGAGAGAGAGAGAGAATGTTATTCTTTTGGATACAGATCGAATTGCTGTTTCCTCCTGTGAGAGAAAGCTCCGTTTTATGAGATCGCGAATCGGTGAAACAAGGTTCACCAAGTGCCACATTATTTAATTTTTTCGAGGCTGGACATTTTTCCGTGATATTACTCTAATTATCGCATTCTCGCCCTCGTACCCTTTCCACTATTCCCGTGAAACCAGAAACACGAAGAGAAGAAACAGGGAGAAGACGAAAGGAAGGAAGACAAAAAACGAGAAAAACAAAGAAACTCGTCTTCAATTTTTCGGTTTTCTGGTGGCCGAGCTTCTCAAAACGCCGCTTCGCCTTGGATTTTGATGAGATTGGATTGTTTAATCGCTTTTTTATAATATATGAAAAAAGAAATGGCGTAATTTATCAGCTTCTTTTCGCAAGTTGTATCAGAATTTTTTCTGAATTATCTTATTTTAATGTACAGAACACAGAAAGCAACTGCAAATTATGAACAAAAGATAAAAATTACTTCAATATAGTGTGAATAAGACATTCTTCCCACATGAGATTCTTCCCCAAATGAGACATTCTTCACACATCGGCTTATTTTGAATCGCTAAAATCAAGAATAAAGGTTATTCAAACGAACAGTTTCCAAGATATTTGCCAAAAGATGTATCATTACGATCATAGTGAATTCTGCTGACATATCCTTGCGATTGTGACGATCTTTTTGTTAAAGTGAAACTTAACCGAATCCAATCTATAAAGAAAAAAAAAATAGTCGATATATTAAATTCTATTTTGTTCTGCGTTGAGTTTTTTTCTTTTTCTTTTTTTTTTTCTTTTTTAAATTTTGTACGCCGTAACGAAACGATGAAAAAGGATTCGACTAAAATCCAAGGTAGAGCGGTATTTTGGCCTCTTGTTGCAATCGGCGACCGTGTTAGTGATTCGTTGTATATAGAATGGTAGTAACTGTTACGTAGGTAAATGGCTGGTGTTGTATATATACGTTCTCTCCCTCAATTACTCAAATTACCTGTAATTGCTAGCGTATCGGACAGCGCCGACGAAAGTTTGTCGCACGTCACCTGCGAATGAAAATGACAAAACAAGCGAGAAGACGATAACGTTCTGTGTATATAAGCGTGCCTGAATATGTGAGTGTGAATGAGATTCATAAAGAGAGAGAGAGAGAGAGAGAGAGAGAGAGAGAGAGAGAGAGAGAGAGAGAAGACAGGAAAAAATATACTTCCAGTGATACAAGAGCGAACGAACAAACAGCTAAAAGAAAAATAACCACGCGATAATATGAAAAAGAATATGAATATGGAGAAGAATGCAAACGTTGCTTTTTACTCCTTGACGTCTGCGACCTGTCCTCTATTCTGCAAATATTTAGATTAACAAATTGAAATGAAACATCAAAAATAATGACCGAGACAAACGCGAGGCTAGTAATTGTGCGCGCAAAAACCAAAAAAGTAGTTCGCTCCGGTAAAAAAAAAAAAGGAAAAGTCTGTCTTTGTTTCAGGTCTATGTTTTATACAAGCTTCAGACTTCGAACCTATTTAATAATAATAATTTAATAATTCTCATCCTCCAGTTCTCTGTTTAACTCCATTATTCGCAGCCATTTTGAAATTGTAAACCTGTGAATTATTTTCGGTTCTATCGAAATAATGTTGAATGGCAATATTTTACGAGCGTTACAGAAAGTGTATGCTGGTGTATTACTTAATAATTACCTAATATTACTTCGCGACCCATATTTGCCGATTAAACCTCGAACAACACTAGGTACAAGAAATTATACAACTAAAAGTGACACCGAGTCGTCGTTTCGGCGAATGAAATTAATAATTGAGCCTTCGCAACTCTATCGTTTATGCTCCACTATTTCTTTTCTCTTTTTTTTCTTCCTGTTATCACAGAGTTCTCCTAATACTTGCTTAATTTTCATATGATTGCATCGTGCTGATCCTGAGTTTCGCGTTTTACTTTTCGTGGGGGAGGAACAGACGATGTCATCGATCGATGCGCGTCGTTCGCTATTTTTTCAACGTACGTCGATGTGTAAAGAAACTTTTTTTTATTTAAAAACGACGTGTGTACTTTCGATGACCTCGCAATTCCCCATAATTGTACGCATATTTCAGTTATTGATTCATTTAGTTTATTCCTTCAAACGAAAATCCCTGCCACGACCGTACGAACTGAAAACGAGCACAACGTCGTTCACCTCGAAGTTCGCGCGATTCGTTTGTTCTCCCGTTGTGTCGTTGGCCAAGGTGTGTCGAGGTCTAATTGTAAATCATGTTGGGAACCGGCGTGGCTCACATTATGTTCCTCTCTGCGAAGAAGAAGAGTTCGAATTCGAAGGACTAGTTTTTCGTAAGAACGCGTGTCTGTAATGTGTTTCATTAGCTCGGTGTCAGGTTTTGTAACGTGACATTGGTCTTCATGCTTCCAGAGATATGTAAATCGTGAAAAGGATGAACGCTCGTTTTTTTTTGACCTGTCGAAATCTTAATACTCCGACCATTTAAGGATAAAAGGCGTATCTCTTGCGTATTAAATCGCGTGATCAATGAACAGTCGGAACTTGCGGTTCAAAAAACAAATTACATTCCTTCGTTTCTTTCTTTATGTTCTTTCCTCTTTCCCCTTTAATCGTCTTGTTTCTTTTTTTTTTCTTCCGTGTTTATTTATTTTTTTTTTTTTTTTTAAGAGTCGACTCGACTCCAAAACACTCGGCAGACACTAACGTTGTGATATTTTGTAACATTGTAACGATTACTCGTTATCGCCTCTGTATTACGAATGATGTACACCCGTTCCTCGATTTACGCGATTTTTTTCTTTTTCGTTAGTGGTACATACTCTTACAATAGGCTCGGCTCGTCTAAGTATCAAGAATACTTACTTTTTTTTTTTTTTTTTTTTATGAAAATGTGTGAAATAAATCTTTTCATAATTTATCCCGAACTGTTTTTACACGAAAAAAAATCAACCACATGAAACGGATAATTCGCGGAAATCGAAGGACCGGGTGCATTACACGAATGATACTACTTTTTAATTAATAAACTGGCTTCTAAAACGCCGTGAGAAATGCGGCTCTCCGGCGGCTTGTAAGGTCCGTTCATTTTTCTTTTTTTCTTCTCTTTTTTTTTTTCTTTTTTGTTTCTTATTTATAATTGTTGACGTTTGGTCTGATCCTTTGTGAGATGGGATACGAAACTATCATGTGCTGATAATAATACTTTGAAAATCAGAAGGTATCGACGTTCTTTCTTCCAGGCCATTTTCTCCTTGCGTCATTTCTCTTCTATTCTATAGTACGCGGATACGTCGAGATAATTCTCAAGCATTATACCCGAACTATGCCGGCGAACGCACGAATCGAGCAACGATTAAAAAGTTATTAAATTATTTTCATATTAGACGCATACTAGACTGGAACGGCTGCGTGTAATTAACAGGTACGTTTTCCAATTTCATTCAAAAGCGCCTGAAGGCATACAGATTTTGAAATATATCAAGCATCAAGGTTATTGTCCTTGACTGAAAGTCAATATTATACTTTGACTAAAAATTTCAAAAATGTGAGGCCCGATAACAGTGACAAAAGAAGATGAGAGAGAAGACGTTCTGTTACTCGAGGTTCAAGGTAATTTTAACGCTAGAACTGCCACAGCGGTCAAAGTAACATACATCTCGCAGAGACTTTGCAAACGTAAATCGAAGTACTTTTGGAAATTTCAATGTATTTTTCGTAAAATATACAAATGAAAGTTTGTGTCTTTTATGGTATTAAAAATTGTTTTTTCATTCCTTTGATACAAGTTTTACGCGTATTATTCTTAAGTACGTCGGTAGTTCTAGCGTTAAATCTCAACATCTACATTTCAATCTGTGTTACTCTCTCGGCAAGGTTCCTATTACACGTGTGTAGCATGAGAAGTAAATAATATGGAATTTCGAGTCGGCTTATCAATGAACGTGTTGGAAAAAAATTGATCTACGCGAACCAGGAAGAGGAAATTGCTTACTTTCTCTACTGTGGACAAATCCACAGCTCTGACTTAACATCCGTTCGTACACACACATTTTATTCTAAATGTTATGCGAGCGCTTTCACGACCTATGCGATTCGCGTCTGTTACGTCTAAATGAAAACGAACGTTGATCCGTACCATCGTAATAGAGGATGAAACGTGCAGCAGAAATATGTAACTTAGTTACTCGTGAAAGGCTCGTTCGTCATTTCTTTTCTTCGCGTTGAGGTCGAATTCATTTTTCTCGTTTTCCTACAGATTTCATTTTCCATTCTCCAATGAATAATTCTAATGAAATAATTTTATATAAATGACGTATACGACGAATTAATTGTTACTAATTACTAGTTTAATCGAGCTTGGAAAAAAAAAATCGTTATTAAATAATTTTGTATAAATGACGTTAACAAAATTAACTACCATCCATTACAAGTTTAATTGAGCTTGGAAAAAAAGAAAATCGTTCAACATGCGCATGTTAAAAGCAATAACGTCAAGACTCGAACGTTACTTTTTTACCGGCATGATCATAAATTTCGATGAAGAATATTTATCTTTTGGCGTAATTCTCATTTGCATCACACCGCATTATACATAATGTTGTTAATACGTTGGTGGCAGAATAAAAGGATTTATCCTCTGCATCAATTATAATCAATGTATATTATTGGTACATGAAAATTTGATAAAGAATTGTAAATTGAATTCCAGTTTTTTCGCCCAGGTTCAATTAATCGTCGAATTCGAAAGGGGAAAGATTCTGATTGAATCATTTTATTTTTCTAGCTTCAAATTAAAATTCTATTTCCGACCTCGTCTACATGTGCAGCTCATGTTCTGAATCCTTTGTGTCAACTCCATTTATTTGATCGATACTCGATTTTAGTCAATACTCGATCAAGTGAATCGTACTCACTTGAATTTATACAACTAGTTACGCAAACGTGTCCTTCGGCAAGTTTATGTAAACGGAATTTTTACTATATTAATAATGAATTTTTCTTGCTAATCAGATGCTTTTTTTTTTTTTTGTCGAATGTAATGATTAATTTAACGATCTAGCATTTTTGACGTAAATATCTAACGACAGTAATTTCTTTCGAAACTTCAACGTTCATCGAAAATACTTTTTTTTTTCTTTTTTTCTTATTTATCAGTGAGTTGCTTAGTTGATGAATATTTCATTTGAAGGAAGATAATGTGAGGCGTGACTTATTATTTCAATTAACAAACATTGTGTTTGTTCGAAAACCTGACGCTGCGTTCAATGTATGTTCCGAGAATTGCCAATAATGATAAAATAAACAGTTCCATTGTTCAAGTAGACAGTAGCCGATGGAAATGTTCGTATTTTAAATTTCATTTTTTCTTATCCTTTAAATGTTCCTTATTTTATAAACGAGATTTCAACAAACCCATAAAAAAAAGTCGTAAAAAGAGAATGATTTTTCAAATATATAGAGAAATGATTTTTTTTAATTTTATGCAACAAAGAGATTTTATTTGTTAATACCATTATCAAGTATAATTCATTTGAATATTGATTTCGTTGAAAGTTTATCTCGGAAATTAATTCGATTTTAAATACAATTTATAAAGCTATTTTTTCTTAATGGCATTTAATGATATTTTCTGAAATAGCTGTTCTAAAATGTAAATGTCTCAAGTCTATTTTCATTCGCTTGATCGGTATATATTAACGCTAGACGTAGACTTTCTATCGCTTACTCGAAAAATACGGATATTTTTTGTCAAAATTAATATTTATTTCTGTTTTAGACAGAAGCGTGATAAATTTATTTTGATTATTCGAATTTAAATTACAGTGATTTCTATTAAGGATGAGTTAATTTTCAAATTCTCGAATACGAATCTTCGCAAGGTTTTGAAACACGTGGAACCTTGAAAGGAATTCGTTGTTTTCGAACTGGAATTAACACTTCCTATACATAAATCTTTACTTGCCACAGTTGAACAATATAAAAACAAGGACATAACAAACAAACATGCAAAAATATTAAGATTCTTTAAGAACACACGCGAAATCTTCCAAAGGCTGAAAAAAACCAAAACCGGTTGTCGCACTAAATACTCAAACATACACACGAATCAAACTTTCTTCGTTCACGCTGCAAACGATTCTTTGTTCGTTTGTTTT